TTCAAGTGAGCAAAATAAAAATGACATAAAAGTAAATGCTCAAGTTAGCAAAGATTAAAATAGCATGACCATCTTGAAACTTGCATTTAGAACTCATTAGAGGATTGGTAGAACCAAAGCCTCTCAACAACAAGTTGCATTTTCTTTTTATTAAGTATATCATCCATTTAAGAATTCTCAAGGCGTCATTAAATGATCAATGATGTTTAAGTTATCCACTTTGACCAAAGTTGATGAAAATTCATTAGAGGATTGGTAGGACTAAAGCCTCCTAACAATGAATCTCAATGTTATTGGATCAAAGGGTTCATGTTAACATACTTGGGCTTACAAACATGAGTTTGGGCCACAAATGATCATTTTTCTCAAATCAGGACAAAATTTAGTGCTATGTTAAGCAATCGTAAGTAGACTTATATAGAAGTCACACTTATTTTGAGGCCGGTCAATAGCAATCTATGTACCATATGTTTTGAGACATGATATAGAAATCATGCTCCAATAACATTTAGTACAATAAGAATAGGATAAGATGAAGAGGGATGGAGTGAGAAATAAACCACTTTGAACTAAAAATTCAATCAAACTATTATTAAAATCATTCATCCATATTTATGGAGTTAGACTCAACACCATGGATCCAATGATGTTAATAAAGTTCATGAACCAAATTGCATAGTCCAAGATGAGTCAGAATATATATATGAAAAATAAAATTGTATTAAAAATAAGAAAATAAGATTTTTAAAAATGATTTAAAAATGAAATAAAGAGGAAAAAATAGAAATTATATTCAAAATAATCAAAAAAAATTAAACAAGACCATTAAAAAATCAGAAATGAGCTCAAATATTTATATGAAACATTTGGTAATTTTTTAAAGTCAAAAACTATTTTTAAAATTAAAAGAAATAGACAAAATAAACTAAAAATGAAGAAAAATAGTAAAGTCAGAAATAAAAAAATAAATGAGGTCATCAATATTTGTCAAAAGATCATTGAATCCTTCCCTAATTTTTCCAGAATTTAAAAATGAAGAGAAGTATGTTTTAACAATTAAAACAATTCAAATAAAGTAAAAAATTTATAAAAAAATATAAAAACACAAAATAAAATTGTGAAAAAATAAAAATCAGAAAGAGAAATATCAAAAGTATTTTTCCTAATTTTTTCTGATTTTTTGAAGTTGAAATGGATTTTTTATGATTTTTTTGAAGTTTAAAACAATTTAAATATAAAAATCAGAAAATAAAATAAAATCAAAAAGATGTGGACCAATGGATAAGAGTAAAAACGCGTTAGTAAGCTAATCCAATAGATCAGACGCGTTATGCATATCATGGTCATTATTGAATAAAGCACTGAATCAAATATTAAATCAGATTTTTGAAAATTCCAAAGGGCACGCTTTCATTGGTTGAAGGATGACACATTGGTCATCTTCAACCTCCAGCCAGTCTCAAAACCAGGTTCCTCAAACTGTAAAATTAGAGCTCGAGACCGGTACCATTCGCTTCGTCTCATCAAGACGATGACAACCACACCTTCGCAAAAATTTATATAAAATGTAGCCCAGTCATTTTAGAAGAGAAGTTTTGAAAAGGATTTGAAATTTCAAGGTCAAAACGTGTGTCCAGTTGAAAAAATGTTGTGACTAGAATCAGGATGATAAGAGCTTCACAATAGTATCAAAATTTGAGAGAATTCGTGAAGGAATCTACCTATTGAAGTTAAGTTGCAGAGCTCTGAAACTAGAACTGGCTAGTACGATTCAGGGAGTTTTAGAGCTTAATTCTTCTTCTGTTAGCTTCAGTGAGGATCAAGAGAGAGTTTGACATGGTGATTCTGGCTTTCAAAGCTTGAGAAAATGAATGAGAGAAGATCATTTATTTATAAGGAAGCTAATTGAATGCTCAAGCGTGTGAAATGATGAAGTTTGGAGGGTAATCATGTGAAGTTACAAACAAGAAAAGTGTGACTTGTAATTTGATCAAAACTCATACAAACTGTGCGTTTTATCATGTTAATCACTTCTGGAGGTTCACTAAACGTGATTAGAAGCAAAAGCGTGTAACAACTTTGTGGTTAGAAACCCAAACAAGGATTTCAAATCCTGACTTTTGAAGAAACTTTAGTTTCAAGTTACCAAATTCAAATCAATGGCATTCTCAACTCAATGGGTCTTAGGACATGATTCTTGAAGCTTTATAAAGATGATATTACAAGCTTTACAATGTGCAAAGAATGGGATCAAATGGATGCTTGAGCTGAAAGTTGTGATGAGTCAAAGTTGAGAAAAAGAAGTTGACTTTTTATAAGAAAATTTCTAAGTTTTTTCTTCAAAAATGACTTATAATCTCTTGCATCTAAACATGGTCTTCCACTTGAAATTTGCTCTTGACCAAAAAAGATGGCATGAAGTAGATATGTTTAAAGAAATTTTGAGACTTGAACCATTCAAAATATCCAAAGTTTGAGAATGTTATGACTTGTTGAAGTTGGCAAAAATTCATGAAATGACCTATAATATTTTGCATCCTTAGGGCATCTTCCATCCATATTCACACTTTACACTTAAAAGATGGGTTGAAGTTCACATCTTTAAGATCATTATGGAAAAATAATGGGCTCAACGTGATAACAATTGACCAAGTTATGATCATTTGAAATCACCTAATGGAATTTGAGGGTTCATCTGGGGGACTTGTAATTTTTCTTCATCATCAAGTTTCTTCCACACAAAATTTCCTTGAAACTTTTGAAGTGATTTGTTAATAACCATTCGAAGAGAAGCATGTTTTTGGAATCACCCAAAAATACCAAAAGATGAGCAAGATATACCCCCTTTGAAGTTCAAAACCCTAGCTCCTAGAGCAACACAATGCTTTGGGAAACCTTTGCAATTTTGATCAAATTTCTTGCACAAATACTTTTTTATGTAAATAGAAGTTGTTGAGGATGATAAGGAGAAACCATAGCAACCAACACCACTTCCAAATCTTGAGAATTGAAGGAGATATGCACTTGTGATCAATGGAAACAAAGACTTGTCCAACTATGTCAAACTACTTCAATCAACCCTTGTACCTTTGAACTATTTTTGACAACTTGAGGCATGATGAATCATAATAGACTTTTTCATGATGTTATTTCAAAATATCTTCAATAGTGAAACTTGAACCTCTATGAAACTTTTTTGAAGAAGGCATAGAAATAAACTCATGAACCTATGGATCAACTTGATGGAATGCATTGTGCTTTCACCTACAACATCATCAATTAGGGAAAACATCCCTTGTATTTGTTAGTTAAAAGTTAATCACTATAAAACATAGATGATCACAAAATACTAATCAAAGTGCTTGGTGATTTCCCATGAGCAAAGTTAAAGTTAAGGAGAAGAACCAAACCCTAGTGTGATCTTGTTGTAATTGAATTAATATGATGTGATAGGGGGATCTTAGGGGAAAAATTGGGGTACAATAGGAGGGAGCTAGCTCGTCCGATTTGACGATCGGTGGCGGACTGGAATGGTTCACCAGAAATCGCATAGAGGCAGTCGGGGACGGTGGCACGACTATGTTAGTGGCGGCCGTAGATGGAGAGGAGAGAGTTTGCGGAGGAGGTGAGTGAGGAGGGAGATGAAGATTCCTTAGTTTTTGTGCAACTTTGTTCTTCAATGTTCTTGAGCGATTGAGAGAAAATTGAGAGAGAATAAAGTTTGATTTGTGAGATTTGAAATAATAAGTCTAAAAAGTTGTGTTGAAATTTGAATTTCAAACTTATATAGAATTGCCTCCAAGTCTTGTATGGCGAGTGTAAATTTGATTTTTCGGCTTATTTCATGTACCAATTGAGGTCGAACCATAAACTCATGACATACGATGTATAATCCTGACGCGTGGCCTAAAATAAAATCATCGGCGATGAAATTTGTGATGCGGTGCCGAAAGAATCGTCCCGATACGATAAAAATTGAGCAAGCTACGATGCTTTAAATGACGAGATCTCGATATTAAAATTCACAGTGTAGATTTTTTCAGCTTATTTTGTGTACTGTTCACGAACAAACCACAAGCTCATGTCTTTCGGTGCGAAATTCTGACGTGCTACCTGAAACAAAATAGTGTCGACGAAATTTGTGACATCGTGCTGAAAGAAACACCCTGATATGATAAAAATTGAGCGAGTTATGATTTTTCGAATGGTGAGAAACGCTGGACTTATTTTGCTGCATTGAAAATTTTTGTTTCAGAGTAAAAGTACAGAGTAACTTAATATTATCACTAATACTTATAAAATTTTGTCTTCATCTCATAATCATTTCCTTGATCACACCATCTTAAAAATATATCTTCATCCTCTTTTAATTTTTCTTTATCACTTGAAAACATACTTGTGCAATTATATCTTATCTCAATCTTTTTTTCCCAAAATTTACCAAAATCTTTTCTTAATGGGCCAGTCCGAAGCCCGCTTGACCCGACCCGGCCCGATCCATGAAAAACATAGGCCCGATAGATTGAGCCAAAAAGATAGGATCATGTTTTTTAAAGATATTTTGCGATCCAATCCGCGCTAAATTTTTAGACTTATGGGTCGGGCTGACAGCTTTCTTTGTAGGCCACATAATTAGTGAATGAATGTAAAAAGTCCATAGCCTTCATTGCATGTAAAAGTATTGTGCAGCCATAGTTGTAGTTTTAATTTTACTACGTCGCGTCGCATGTTGAGAGTTTAGACCCAACAAAGCACAAACTAAGGCTTTAAATTTTGAATAGAGAATATGTCAATTAATTAAACTGGTCAACTGTCAACTATGGTTTTTTTTAATTTGATTTTGACCCCTTCCTTACCTATCCCATTAGTTCATAGCTATATAAATATTCATATTGATTATACCACCTTATACACATAAACATTCATTTCAAACCTATACATATACAATATCCTAAACAACCTTGCCAAGAAATACCTTAGAATTATAATCCACATATTTCATGGCTTCAATATTACAATCTTCACTTATAACTTGTTGTTCTTTAACATCTTCAAAGAGAGTTATTAATGCAGCTATCCATCTTCCCCAACTCCCTAATATTTCATTGCCACCAAACATAAAAACCAGCAGAAAACAAAAACTTGATCATCAACAATTAATACTAGAAAACAACAACACACAAATATTACACGATCAACAACAGCAGAAATATTCTAACGCCACAATTCAACTCTATGCAGTCTTAGAAGCTGTATCCGACAGAATTGAAATGCATCAAAACATTGGCGAACAACGTAATAGCTGGAACGACCTTCTATTAAACTCAATCAACATGATTACTCTAACTGCTACAACTATGTCTGGTGTTGCTGCTGTCGCAAGTGGGGAAGGTGCAACACTTTTGGCTCTGAAATTATCTTCTGCTCTTTTATTCTCTGCTGCAACTGGATTATTACTGATCATGAACAAACTCCAACCCTCTCAACTCACAGAGGAACAAAGAAATGCTACAAGACTATTCAAACAACTTCAGACCCAAATTCAAACCACAATTAAAATAGGAAACCCTAGTGAAGAAGATGTGAAGGGTGCAATGGACAAAGTTTTGGCTCTTGACAAAGCATATCCACTTCCCTTATTAGGAGCAATGCTTGAAAAGTTCCCTGCAAAATTTGAGCCTGCTACTTGGTGGCCATCCAAAAAAGGAAAGACTCAAAGTAAGAAAATGGGAAAAATGAAAAATGGATGGAGTGAAGAATTAGAAATGGAAATGAGGGAAGTTGTTGAAGTGATAAAAAGAAAAGATGGTGAAGATTATGAGAGACTTGGAAACATAGCATTGAAGATAAACAAGAGTTTGGCAGTTGCAGGGCCATTGCTCACAGGAATTGCAGCTATTGGATCTTCATTCCTAGGCAATGGCAGTTCTTTGGCTGCTTTTGTTCCTCTCTTGGCTGGTTCACTGGCTGCTGCAGTTAATACTTTTGAGCATGGTGGACAAGTTGGGATGGTTTTTGAAATGTACAGAACTTCTGGTGGCTTCTTCAAGTTGTTAGAAACCTCAACCGAATCAATTTTGGGAGAGAAAGATTTAGAGAAAAGAGAAAATGGAGAGTTGTTTGAAATGAAGATGGCTTTGAAGTTGGGAAGAAGTATATCAAATCTGAGGGAACTTGCCTCCAAATCAGCTTCTTATAGAATGGAAGGTGCTGTTGAAATAGATGAATTTGCCAGCAAAATATTCTAGGACATGTTTTATACATCCATTAATTAACTTTTTGTATATGTTTATTCCTTCATTCTTTGTAGTTACCTGACCTAATCAATAGAAAAGAAATTATGATTTATACAATACAATAATTGCATGCGGGCTAAATCTCCATGATAGACTTTGACACTACATTAAAGCATTAGGAGTATAAGTCATTTCTCTTATAAATTCAATATTTTCTCCATTTCTAATCGATGTGGGAACATTAGATTAGAAGATGTTTGAATCTTCTTTCAAGAGTGGAATACAATTTAAAGAAAGATAGTAGTTCATCAATACTATTAGAGAAAACCTAAGGAATCTTGTGAAGATAAGTATAATATACTTTTTACACTAATTCATATTTAGAGATAATGAGATGTTGATATCGAGAGTCTCTACAAACTATATGCAAATAAATACTAACAAAGAAGAAACAAGTAAAAATGTGCTAGAAACCAACAATGATTAAATTTTGATTGGACGTAGTTTTGTTAGAGCAGCATAGGGGTGAACGCTCTAAGATGAATTTTCAAATAATTGAACTTAAGACTTGGAGAATATTAACTTAGTGGGTTCAGGTTAAACGGATTTGGGGAAGATAACACTCTCAACAAGTTGAATGAACCTATAATGAAAGAGAAAACAACATGTAATAGTTAGGAAACCTTATAGTGTCGGGAAAAACAGAAAGGAAGAGAAAGATTATTGGAAATGAGAGAAGGACTAGATTGCATTACACTTGGTGATTGTTTATATACACATGTGTTATTTGTAAATCAAGTAAGAACTCATAACAAACTAAAAGCAACCAAAAACTAACCAATTCTAACTAACTTTCCCTACTAACAACCTATCATTATGATTGCTTGGATCATATTCAACATCCCTTCTTAATTCAAGCTATCGAATGCTACGACTCCAAATTTTCTTCTCAACTTTAAGAATTGCAATCTTTTAACTCCAAGCTATCATTGTTAATTTGTTATCTATTTGCAGTTTGATTGACTCTTCTATCTTGATCACCAAGTCATTCAACAATGATTGAAGCCAATTTATTTGACAAGTTGCAGCAGCACCTGCAATATATTCGGCTTCACAGCTAGATAAAATAATCATTGATTTCTTCTTTGAGCACCATGAAACAGGTGCTCATAGGAATTTAAAAATGTACCCAGTTGTGTGTCTCTTATCAATCTTGTCTCCACACTAGTCAGTATTAGAAAAGCCAGTCACCTCAAAATTGTTGTTTACTTTGTCTTGTGGAAAGAAGAGACCATAATGAACTCTATCATTGATGTACCTCATTATCCTTTTTGTAGCATTGAAGTGTTGTTTGAGAGAGTTACTCTTGAATCTGCTTGCTAAACCAACTGCATAGCAGATGTCTGGCCTGCTATGGCACGAATACCTAAAGGAACTAACCAACAGCTTGAATGTGGTAGCATCCACTCCATCTTCTTTGCCTTCGTCGGAATTCACTAATTTTAAACTTGTTTTAGCTGGTGTGATTGTAGTGTTGCACTCTAACATGTTGAATTTTGTTAGGATCTCTTTTGCATATTTGGCTTGGTGCAAAATCGTTCCACTTGAGGTCGGTAGAAATTTCATGCCAAGAAAATAAGCTAACTTGTCCAGATCAATCGTTTCAAATACTTGTTTTATCTTATTCTTGAACTACTCAATTTCAGTCTCACAACTCCTAGTTATAGGGAGATCATTCACATAAAGGCAAATGATCAAGAGATCTTTCCCTTCTTTCACTATGCCAAACAAGCACATAGATAACGTTTTTTTTTGCCATAGACAGCGCTTATAAGCACTGCCTATTCCTGCGCTGCTGTAACCTTAGGCAGCACTTTTAGTCTATGTGAAAGTTCTGCTTAATGTAGACCTTAGGCAGCGCTTTATTGAACAAGCGCTTTCTAAAGGTCCCTATAGGCAGCACTTTTAACAATGTAAGCGCTTTTTATAGTGTGTCTATAGCAGCGCTTTCACTTTAGACAACGCTTCTTCAAGCGCTGTCTAAAGTGAAAGCGCTGCTATAAGCACACTATAGCAAAAGCGCTGTCTATTGTATTATTTTTTATTATTTTTTATTTTTTTATTTTAGTTAAGCGTTGTCTAATGTCCCCTTTTAGGCAGCACTTGTTATGTCATAGGCAGCGCTTTTTGGTTTAAAGCGTTGTCTAATGTTAACGTGTCTAAAGTGAAAGCGCTGCTATAAGCACACTATAGCAAAAGCGCTGTCTATTGTATTATTTTTTATTTTTTTATTTTTTTATTTTAGTTAAGCGTTGTCTAATGTCCACTTTTAGGCAGCACTTGTTATGTCATAGGCAGCGCTTTTTGGTTTAAAGCGTTGTCTAATGTTAACGAATTTTTTAATATATTCAGCTTATATTTTAAGCGCCATGTACACATAATCACTTAAAATTTAAGCGCTATCTTTCAAATTTGCACCAGAATTTATAAATTTTTGAAGCTTCAATCAAATAAATATGAACCAAATTTACATATTTATATATACAACTTTAATATAACAATTTATATATACATAAATACAACTTAAAGTGTTCAATATTGCTATCTTCTAGAGCTGCTATATTCTACTATCTTCTCTACAAACAACAACAATGAAGAATCCTAAATGAATCTATATATCTTCTACACATATATGCACCTACCTGAAACAAAATAAACAAAGGCATATATATTAGAATCAAACTATATATATAACACTTAAAAATCAATGTAACAAAAACAAATCAAGATTCATACAAACAAAATTTCCCGATTCATACCATGCATACAAACAAAATTCACTGATTTCGTCCATACAAACAAACAAAATTTTGTTATAATCCACCATTAAAAATTCCCCGATTCATACATACAAACAAACTTCCCCGATTCATATCATGCATACAAACAAAATTCCACGATTTCGTCCATACAAACAAACAAAATTCCGTTATAATCCACCATTAAAAATCCTCCGATTCATACATACAAACAAAATTCCCCGATTCATACCATGCATACAAACAAAATTACCCGATTTCGTCCATACAAACAAACAAAATTCCGTTATAATCCACCATTAAAAATTCTCCGATTCATACATACAAACAAAATTCCCCGATTCATACCATGCATACAAACAAAATTCTCCGATTTCGTCCATACAAACAAACACTATGCCAGAAATAACCTACGAAAGCGCTTTTTTTGGGCTTTAAAAGCGCTCTCGTAGGTGGCGCTGCTAAAGGTTTTAGCAGCGCTTTTTGTTCAGAAAAAAGCGCTCTCGTAGGCCTACCTATGAAAGCGCTTTTTCTTAAAAGCGCTTTCATAAGTAGGCCTACGAGAGCGCTTTTTTCTGAAAAAGCGCTTTCATAGGTGTATTCAGAATGCGTATAAAGTAGGCCTATGAGAGCGCTTTTTGTTCAGAAAAAAGCGCTCTCGTAGGCCTACCTATGAAAGCGCTTTTAAGAAAAAAGCGCTTTCATAGGTAGGCCTACGAGAGCGCTTTTTTCTTAAAAGCGCTTTCATAGGTTTTCTACTGAAAAATCTAAAATTTAAAAAATTTCTAAACCTGCATTTTTTTGCAGCAAACCTGTAATTCTTAAACCGGTATTTTACAATCTAATCTAGAAATACCAATATATATTAATTTTAATCCAAATACCAAATGTAATTCAAATACCAAATATTATATATATATATACAAATACCATTATAATCAATTCATATCCAAAATATATATACACCATGGTAATTCAATATTAACATGTTTTTAAACGTAACAAAATACACCCTAAGAAATCAGCTATATAACACTAAGTAAATCAATCCTAATCTACATATATATCCAAGGTCCTGATCCTGCAATATGAACATAATAACATGGTCAGTGTTGTATACACAAAACAATATATTCATAATTAACCAATTTTCACACAACAATGTATTCGTACCTTATTATAAGATTCTTAGCTCAATAAAATATTGGCACAACTCCTCTTTGATTTCTTCCAATTGACGTGGCGAGTAATATGGACAATTGTATTGATCAAAATACTACATTACAAAACAAAATATATGCGTGATTTAGTTTAATGTAATAAATTATATGCAAAATCCGATAAGTAATAAAACAAAGTATAAATCCATACCGTGATTGGAATCTCGATTTCATTCATTTGAATGATTTCTTTGATAAACATCAAAACAAAGTATCCGCAATCTATGCCGTTTTGTTGTTGAGGGCACTACATAGAAAAACAAATAAGATTATACACATCTATTGATTTATCAAGTAGCATAAATATTATAAGCAAAATTGTTGAAATTTATATACCTGTACTTTGATCCAATTAATGTTGTTTGATCTAGACCGTGGTACTCGTGCTCCCCTTTGACATCGGAATACTTGTATTGAACTGATGACAAAATTAAAATATTTATTTAGAACAATGACATTGAAATAATTAAATATATAAACACAAACGAATATTTAGAATAATGTCACTTACGTATCAATCACTAGCTTCATTTCCGGATAATTTGTCCAATCACCGTCAACCGAATTCAGGTAATAGACCACTTCTTTTATGGGATTGATTGCAAGCAACAACCAGTGACATCTATAAATTAAAGCAACAATTTAGAAGCGAATTTTAATATAAAAAATACAAATATTAAAAGGAGCTTAGAATGAAAATCTAACCCTGTATTATAAGGCAAAAGATACAAGCTCTCTGTACTGGCAGTTGTCCTGAATCTTTCGACCAAGTGTTCTCTTACTGAATCAGGTTCCCTAGAAATTGTTGCTCCACTAACACGGGAGGAAGACACGAAACGGAATCTATTTGACAATTGATTCCCGCGCATCAATTTGTCAAATAACATCCTTAAATAAAAACATAATTAATATTAGACTATTTCAATTAAATGTTTAAAAAAAATGTTCAACCAATTAAATAATATATTGATCG